AGCAGAGGCACAGCCTGCAGACATCATGGGGAGAAACATCTGACACCTGCTACCTGTGCAGGGGACGTGGGGACACCAAACTGAGCAGGCAAAATCTACAGTTTGACTTTTTGGAACCTCTTTTTAGTTTGTGGCTGCAAAGGCTTCACATGGTGAGTGTCTTTTCAAGGTGCTGAACGTGCTGGTTGCTCTATGCTGAAACACATATTATCTATAAAGAAATATAGGGACAATACTGGAAGATAACATTTACATAAAGTACATCTACTAATCTTTATTATGACCAGACCATCAGGTTCTGGAGATAAAGGTAATTAAATATCTTTATATCATCTGAGATTTCCATCTGAGGTTTAACCTCCCTGTCATGCTCCTTTTTTACGTTTTTCTCTTTTTATTCAGCTTACTAGTATTATTTTCATGTTGTTACAATACTGTGGTATTCCATATTCCATAACTCCATATTCCAACCCTCCCTTCTTATTCCTATCCTCCCTCAAGTAATTTTCAGTGCTAAGAATGTAATTTCTGGAGGATGAAAGTTATGTCTTCTACTCAATAATAACAACACACAGGTGTTATGAACAAGTAAATAGCAATCCTATTGAATGCAGGCCTTACCAAAAATAAAAATGCAGCTGATAAAGCAGCTGAATTCTTTTCTCTTGTGCCTCCTATTCCAAACATTCCAAAACAACGTTTTGCAAGAATTCTGTGGCAGAGGCTTTTTAGTGTAAAAGACTTAGTTGGCTGACTTTCATAAAATGTTTAGTTCTTCTCAAACACTAACCTAAGTTCTGCAGTAAATACAATTTGTTAATACCTCTGTTAAATACTTTCTAAAGGAGACCAAATTTTTTAATATTCGAAACTACTAAGCACATGTTATGTCTCATAAGCTGCTCAGTGTTATTTCGGCTACATTCATCCTTCACCACTTTATTTCATTTCATTTCATTTCATTGATAACACATGGATATTTTCTTCATTATTTTTATTAATCTGACTAGTTTCATGTTATTCAACAGAAATGTTTCCAAATTAATAGATAAGAAAATGCATTTGTCTTTCCAGTCTAACAATTTCACTTTGAGAATTGCAGGAACCTCTCAATATCATCCTGGAAATACGTCACCTCAAAAAGTAAGAGGAATCATAGAATCACAGAATGGTTTGGACTGGGAGGGACCTTAAAGATCATCCAGTTCCACTCCCTGCCATGGGCAGGGACACCTTCCACTAGCCCAGGTTGCTCAGAGCCCTGTCCAGCCTGGCCTTGAACACTTCCAGGGATGGGGCAGCCACAGCTTCTCTGGGCAACCTGTGCCAGTGAATAGCAAAACCTTTATAACTAATAAGAAAGAAACGTAATTTTGTTCAGATGAACACAGGGTTAATGAAAAATAAACTTCAGGACTAGCAAACAAAAAGCAATAAGAAAAAAGTAAGTATTTCAGTACTTTCCTCCTTATTTACTGGCAGGATTCTTATGGTACAGAGGCACACAGAGAGCAGGGAGCTTTGGGGGGTATGGTCAAAACAAGAGTTCCTACAGCACCCAAAAATATCAGAAGTCTTATTTGGGGTACAAATCCCTCAAGGTCTGATGAAAGCCTCAGAGAACTCACTAATAGTTCTTCTGTTGACTGAGGAGGGAAATAAAGATGAACTGACAAAGTCAACCGAGAACAGGGTAAATTAGCCTGTCCAGAGAAGCTGTGGCTGCCCCATCCCTGGAAGTGTTCCAGACCAGGTTGGATGGGGCTCGGAGCAATGTGCTCTAGTGGAAGGTGTCCCTGCCCATGGCAGGGGGGTTGGAACTGGATGGTCCTTGCAACCCAAACCATTCCATGATTCTATGATCACTATATTCCTGTCTTTACTGCAGGACATCATTTTTCTGATACAGAACAAATGATACTAGAAAGTAAATTTTTTTTAATAAAATAAATACCAATGCCCACTGACCTCTTTCCTTTAAAGATACAATTTTCTATTCTGTAAGTATTGTCTCAGGGCTGGCAGATCTGAAACACCCTGCTGCCAGTGGTAACTACAGATGCTCCTGCAGTGGGCCAGTGGTGTGTTCTGGAATTCTGTGCCTCATTTCCCATAATCAAAGGCCAAGATAAGCCAAGCAAACCCCAGTTGTGTGAGAGAAAGAAGAGGAAGTGAAGCGGTTTCTTTTGTGTTTGATGACTCAGAAGTTCTCACTGCTGCCAAATGAGGGTTTGCAGTGGCCCTCAGACCTGGCACGGGGAGCTGTCCAGAACTACTGTGACAGGCAGCCCCCTCTGGAATGCTGATGTCTCTGATTAGACCACTCTCATTTCTCTGGAGTTCCTGGAGATGGAAGGAAAAAGTAAAATTACATTATTAGTTTTTAATTTGGGAGTCACAAAACTCTTGCACAACACTGTATGTTTTGGACGCATTTAAGTCACTTTTCTTGCTATCTGGCTGTGTAACTGGCCATCTCAGGGACAGTCACAATAATGAATCTCCCCTCTGACAGCGCAGGAGCTCTTTGAGAGAGGGGGAGAACAATCCTTCCTCAATGTAAGAGATTTTTCCCCCTAATTTACCTCTAGGATGAGGAGGTACCAGTCTGATGCACTGAAATACAGTCAGATAAGAAGGAGCCAGGAAGTTGTGTTCCATGTATGAGGATTTTCTGGATCATCCTAACTCCTTTTGTATCCACATTGTCTCAAGGACCTTCAGAGATATTTTATTGCTCATTCTGTGGAAAATGCCCTGCTATGGGATCATCCTCCATTGCCAAGGCTCAAAAGTGGTTTTTTTCTTTTTGGAGAAGAATTTTTAGCTTTTTAGTTCAAAGTTAACTGATGACTAAATACATCTTGGACTGTAACTGCAGCCTAAAAAATAGGCCTTTATAACTCAGGTAATTTTTTTCAGTTCCTGTAGCCACAATATCATTATGCAAGTGAACAGAGGTTGCCCAAAGAAGTTACGGATGCCTCATCCCTGCAAGTGTTCAAGGCCTGAGCAACCTGGCGTATTGGAAGATGTCCCTGCTCATGGCAGGGAGGCTGGAACTAGTTCTTTAAAGTCTATACCAATCCAAACCATTTCATGATTCTATGACCAGTAAGTGATAAAAGTAATATTATTTGTGGTAGCAGCAAGCAGGAGGCAGCATCACAGAATCCAACTTTAACTTTTTGAGTCAGTCCCATGAGAACCCTTCTACAAAATGCTACACTTTCTACTTAGAATATTTGCATCTTTCTCCATACAACACGGCAATATTTTAGAGTAATTTTCCTGTGATTCAGTTCGGGGGCTATTTTTGTCTTTTGCCTTTTTCCTTTAAGAAATTCTTATCTTGTTTATCAATCTTCATTTTAGAAAATGTCTGTGGGCCTCTCAGCCAAACTGATCAGGGAAAGTAAAGATCGAGTGTCTCAGTCATAAGTGTCTGGGGTTAATAACTACAATAGCTTCAGAGAACGAAATGATTCACAACTGAGTATGTGACAGGTTCTCAGAGGTTTTTGCCAGCCTGCAGCTGCCAAAATTATCTTCTGTACCAGTGGGTGAGAATGAAAAGAGTACTCACTTGTGAATGCTCTGTGGTTATAAGCCACAATGTTATTTTTGACCTCGGCGACAGGCAGGACTGAACGGTAAGAGAGAAAGCCACTCTTTCCAAGTGAATAAATGCTGAATAACCTGTTCTTAGAATACCAGCTGTTCATACATTCATCTTCCATTGCATATTGAACCTCTCTGCTGCCCTAATTCCACACCCCACTCTCAGTCTCTGCCCCTCTGGATTCATGTCTTGCCAAATACTCTGAACTGTCTGCAGCTTGTGCTCTCTGGACCCATCACCTCCTCCCTCTCCCAGGATTCTTCAGTTCCCTGACCTCCCCGAAGCCACCATGTTTGAAACCTTGCTGCACATAACTTTTGGATTATTCTTCACCCTTTTGCCTTTCTATTTCTTCTCAAGTGCCATCCCAGGCATGATGGACAATCCCAGTCCACTGCTTAAATGAGCACCTGCTGCAGGCAAAGGCTAAAATCAGCTGCAATTCAAACTATATTCATGGAAGCATGAAGTTGATATGGCTCTTTATTGTTTATTATGCAAATATGCACACCTGAAGACAATTTTCAGCAACTGACCACTGCTCAAACTCTATTATCTGTAAATATAAACACCTGGAGATAATTTTCTGACCACTGCACAGAATCTTTGATATTCAAAGTAGTTGGAGACTGCTGTGAGACCATAAAGTGTAACTCTCCACTCTCACACTTTTCTATTCGAGGTTTTCTCCCCAGATCCAGAAGGATGTTCATTTTGGATAAACCGTTGGCTGAACTCCTTATCAGCCTTGTACAGAGCCCGCACGATGATTCGAAGAGAGCTGTGTCCCTCTGGCTGTTTGAACATGCTACACAGCCGAGATCTGCTTTAAGTAAAGCAGTTAAAAGTGCAAAACACACCAGATGAAATGTCTGCACTTACAAACAATGCAACTTCTGTCCCACGCTCATTTCTGTCTTTTTTTGATCACTTTGGAGTGTCAGGAACTACCTTGCTATTAGGTAAAGTTCTGGATGATGTAATTAAAATTCACAGTAACTTCTTCATCCCCACAGCTGGAAAGTCAGTACCATCGGGCTTTGCACTCCCCTGGGTGAAGCAGATCACTGGCCATGTTTTCCAAAGACCTCAAGTTTTAGGGGATCAGCGTTTAAATACTTCATTTTACTCTCCTCCTCCACATATTCCTCCTCATCTTCTGTATAAAAGAAGAAAATATATAAATGAACATTAAATAAATAAATAAAAACACCAAGAGCCGCTTTCTGCCTTTGTGTCAGGTCCTGGAATTCGCTGACGTCAGAGAAAACCGCAGTGAGACCTGCTGGCAGCCAAGTTCTCCTTAAAAACACTCCCCATTTCCTGTTTCAGGGGAGTTCCGGAGCTACTATTCCAGCACAAAGTACCGTGACCATGCATGCACTCGGGGAGGACGGCGCATCCCGGGATCGAGGGAAGTAGATCCCACGGCTGTCCCCACCCTCGGAGCAAGGACCAGGACGGAGGGAAACGGATCCCGGCCAGCTGCTCCCAACCCCGACGCTCGGGCAGTTCGGCCCTGATCTCGCGTCCCAGGGGGCAGCGGCTCCGCCCAGCCCATGAATGCCGAGGGGCCGCGGGCGCGGCGGCCTCCCGGAAGCGGGGGGCTGGATCCCGCGAAGGTGATGCGGCGCCCAAAGGGAGAGTGCCCGCGGGCTTGGATTTCCATGGCTATGAGCCGGGCGGACCGTGGACGCCGCCGCCGGGAGCGCCGCGCCCGATTGAGCTTATTTTTTCCCGGGCAAGCCCCCGCCGGTCCCGGGGCGGGGATGCTCCCGCTTTCCCCGGCCCGAGGCTGGAGCACTCTGGCTGCTGCCCTGCGGCGTCCCGGCGGCTGGAAAAACCCTGTGCTGGCAGCGAGAGGGGACCCTCCCTTGGGAGCCGGTCGGGGGACACCTCATCCCCCACTACCGCCTGCAGGGTTCGATATAAAGCAGGGCAGTGGCAGGTTGGTGTGTCCTTCCCACCTCCAAACCCCTGGAAGGGAGCGGAGAAGAAAAAGAGACCCTGAAAAGCTGTGGGATAAGGCGGGATGTTTCTCGGGAGACGTTTTGGGCTGCGGAGCTGAAGGCTTGTCTTGTTTCACTTATCCATGCCACATTTAGGCATGAGGTCAACAGCAAACATACTGTCCACCCTCATTTGTTCCATGCTCATTTCTTTCTTTTTTGATCACTTTGGAGTGTCAGGAACCACGTTCCTATCAGGTCAAGTTCTGGATGATGTAATTAAAATTCTTGTTGCTCTAAATGTCACAGACTTCCTATCCTTCAGTTCTGCTCCCAGCCTCCTATCCACAGGGAACTGCTTTTGCTTTTGGAACAGCTTTGTGGGTCCTGGGCTCTACTCCTCCATAAATTGGTTGTGGGTTTTTTGTTTTATTTTGTTTTTTGAAACATGACATTTATTTTTTCAGATCTGTTCTCCAATATCTGGCTCTGGCGAGCGGTGGCTGGAGTCCTTAGTGCTGCTGTCATTTTAATTTCGTGTGTTCAGTTTGGTAAGTCATTTTAAAAGAAAAGATAATTAGCAATAGAAATTTCCAGAGTTTTAGGTTGTCAAAAGTCCATCCAAACCTTAAGTGGTTTATTCAGAACTCACCTTATTTCTAAATTAAATAGATGTTCCATGACATATTTTCAACATGGAGAAGTCTTTGGGGTGACCTAATTGTGGCCTTCCAGGACCTGAAGGGAGCCCACAAGGAAGATAGAGAGAGACTATTTCCAAGGGCCTGGAGTGACAAGACAAGGGGGAATGGCTTCAAACTGACAGAGAGCAGGTTTAGATTGAATATTAGGGAGAAATTCTTCCCTGGGAGGGTGGGGAGGCCCTGGCACAGGTTGCCCAGAGAAGCTGCGGCTGCCCCATCCCTGGAAGTGTCCAAGGCCAGGTTGGATGGGGCTCTGAGCAACCTGGGATAGTGGAAGGGAGCAGGGAGTTGGAACGAGATGATCTTTAAGGTCCCTTCCAACCCAGGCCATTCTGTGATTCTGTGTTGATTAAAAAATAATGGTGAAGTGCTGGAGAAATTATTCTACTTGTTGCAGTGGCATTAGGGAGTGCTAATAAGCAAAGCTATTAATTCAGCTGTGAGGAAGCAACACTTCAAAAACTGTGGTTGTCAGAAATATTAATGTTGTAGAAGAGTCCTTGGAAGATACTTAATTATCACCCTCTCAGCTGCTTCTACCAACCTTTAAAGGTATGTCAGGAGCCATAAGGGTGCAGGATCCAGAGTATTCAATTAGTTTACAATAATTATTTCTGCTCAGCAGAGGTAATAATGCTATGATTAGACTGAGATTATTTGGAATGATGCAGTCACAAAGCAAAATAAAATGCTCCAGAGACCTTTTCCCATTGGAAGAAATAGGTAGATTGTTCTTTGTCTTTTCCCAGTAAACCTTTCTTCAGCCAAAGATTTTCCTGTCTGTCCTTCCCTGGAAGTCTGCCCATCAGGTTGGCTGTATTTCCAGAGGAAATGCTACTACCTGTCGGAGAATGAAGCCGACTGGAACTCCAGTCAGAGCCACTGCTCTTTGCACAATGCTTCCCTCCTGGTGATCAAGAATCATCAGGAACTGGTAAGGGAACAAACGGGGCGTCCTGATTTCACCCTGTTCCATGTCCTGAAGTGAGTTGTCCTTCCAGCCTCCTAAGCTGAACAGTTAGGAAGCTGATGCAAGGCCATGTTGGGTCACAGCCTGCAGAAAACTTCCTGCCTTCTCTCCCTGAAAACAGAAAGTCAGTTTTATCAGTTGATGTTTTTAAAAGTGCCTGAGGGCTTATCTGAGTTAAATTTGGTGCTGCTCACAGCTATAAATACTCAAGTTGAAGGCAACTATCAGCATAAACACTGTTGCAACTCATTTATCTTTAATTAACAGTTTTATCATATCAAGATAGGTTAATGATGCACAAGTTAGTAGATATGTCAGTTGTGACCTTTGGAGTTAGAAGATATCCTAACCACTGCTTGGAGCATCTCTTTCTATATTACACTACAATACTAGGAAAGATTCCAACCTGCACAAAAAACTAGGAGAATATATTCTTCCATATCTATTACAAACCTTGATGGCAGTCCTTGATATTTTAAAACAACCTCTCTCTAGGTCAGTCAACCCTATCACAGGTACCAGTACTCTGTACATTTAGGTTTTAATATTGTTTCTTCTGAGACAAAGGCAAGATTGATCCAGGGCTAGAAAGCAAAACAACAAAGACAGTATTTTCATAGCATGACTTCTTTTCTCATATGAGTTTATTCCTACAGAGTTTTATGATGAAGATAACAAAGCAAGACCCATGGATTGGACTCTATAAAAGAAATGAAGAGTTCTTTTGGGTGAATGGAAAAGCATTAGACAATGAACTGTAAGTTGACGTCAAGAGGTTTTGCTGGTGATACTAGGTAATAGGGGAGTAAGAAAAGATAACTAATACAGATATTGACAGTGACTTGAAGGAAATATCTGTCATTATGTTGGAGGGATGATTATTGAGAGAGAATGGAATGCAATAAAGATTTCATATAGCATTGATAAAAGTGTGAAGGGTAAAAGTTAGAAGATGAATTTGTAATGTTCAGAAGGAACATAAGGTAGGAGCTCATGGCAACAGACGGGATGGCAAAGTGAAAGTTAAACCAAGAGACCACTAAGATACCAAAGCAACCAGTGGAAGAATAGAAGGTTACAATAATGCAAATTCTTCCTTATACCATATATTTTGCAAAAGTACAAACCTCCACGTAACCTGCATGAGGTTTGTAGCAAAGAGATTTGGGAGACCTCTAGGAGATGTTTTCATACTTCTTATAGAATGTTCCTAAAAAAAGGCTGCTGGAGGGAAAGGGGAAGCTGTAAGTTTATGTTGCAGGAGCTGCTCTGTGGTCATGGCCCTGTGTCCTTGTCCCACCAGTGTCAGGTGTGGGGCAGTTTGTTCCTCCCACTGACAGCTGTCCCTTCTTCTCAGGCACTGCTGTGTCTCATCCTGCAGCTGCCTGCAGGAGTTGATAGAATTATCAGTGATAGTAATAAGCACTGAGATTTCACAAGTCTGAAATTGACTTAAAAAGTGGAAAATTTAAATACTTTCAAGTTTGTGACATTACTAGCGGTGTTTGACTATATTCAGGTAATCCCCAAGACTTAAGGGTGTGATCTGATAAAGGCATTTGATGTGAGATGTGAGGAGCACATGGGCATCTTGAGCTGAAAACTGCAGTCCTTCCCCCTGTTTTATTCCCTGCCTGCAATACAAACATCCACTGATGCTTTCATTATCGGTGATGAATTTCTTCCCATTCTTAGACTTTTGCCTCAGTACTTGCCTCACACTGACCCTCCTGTCTTTAGGAGGGCGAACACCTCGATGTCTAAGCTCAGATGTTATTACAGTCATGGGGATTTGTCCCTTGGCTTTTCCAGAGACCATTCTAGTTGGGTTGGCCCTATCCGCAGAACATTATAGCACTGTTTTCAAACAGAGTTGGTGAAGGAGTCTCTCGCCTCTTATACAGAGGCATCTATAATGTGGGAACTGAGGTTCACTTCCTGATTTCCGCCAGCCCCTGAACCATGGTGCCCTCTTCTGTTCTGAGGAAGAGAGAAATGAGAGATACATTTGTTTCGCACCTTCTGCTGGAACATTTTAGCTGTATAGGAGGATGTGGAAGTCAAAGGTGGTACCAGTCTTGATAGCACAGCATCCTTGAGACAGGGAAACCCAAGTTTCAGTCTCCAATCTAAGGGTGTGTTTCATATTGAGTGACCACTAGACAAGATTCAGGACTACTATAAGGCCTAGATTTTGTATTCTGGGCATGAAGTCCCATTAAAAAAAGAAAATCCCCCATGGTGTTCTCTTCAAAGCACAAGCTGTCATCCTCCTGTGTTGCCTTGCCTGTGGCAAATTGGGCTTTGTTCAAGAGAACCCATAGTTGCCTTTGCTCTATCACAATATTCAGTCGTGGGTATCAAATTAACCATGTCTTTCTTCCTTCCAGAATTGAGGTAAAAGGCTCTGGAAACTGTGCCTATCTTGAGTCAAAAGGAGTCTCAGCCTCTGGATGTTATTTAACCAGGAAGTGGGTCTGTAGCTTGACCATTAACTCAGCGCGATGAAGGTGGACGAAGCCACCCCCTGACATTTTCACCTATCTCTGATGTGGTGTCTGCACAGGCTGTGTCAATACTCTGCGACCTGGGAACATGTCTCAGCTCCTGCCTAAAGGTGAATGACTTTTCTGGTAGCCAGAATTCTCCAACCATGGAGGAAGCCTCTGATTTTTAAAGATACCACTTAAAAGGTTTGCTCCAGCACCTTGATAAGTCATTTTCTTGCCCCATTTTTCTAAGTACTGCCCAGCCTGTAGTTTCTTTTTGTTGTGTCATCAGCATTTCTTCCATTAACCCTTCTTTTGGAGGAGCAGCTGCTCTTTCTTTTCCTTTTTGGTGTGCATCTGGCAGTTTTTGTTCTGCTTTTCCCTCTGTGTGCAGGGATGGGTGGTGAAGTGGGACTTTCTGAAGGTCTGCCAGTGCCTCTCAGAGATAGGGGAATGCAGGAATAAGCACTGTTGTTTTAGACAGGATCATAGCAGGTTTCCCTCTTCCGGTTTGATGGGATGCATCTTGTGTGACTCTGCATTGTATTCAATGTTTTGTTAATGTTATTTTACATTAGCCTTGTTAAATCCCAGTGATAATACTGTCAAGCTGATTTATGTAGCTGCACTGGACCTGAAGTTATCCTTCCCACAAGACTTATTTTAGCCCAGAAAACCCCAGAATAGATAAGAATATTTATTTACCTGAGGATCTGTTCTGATGGGGGGTAAGAGAGTTTGAACTGGAAAAGTAATAGTGAAGCTGCAGGCATTAATGTTTAACGTCAGAAATAGTTCTCAGTGTGAATAGGCAAAATCAGGAGAAGAGAAAAAGAGAATTAACAGCAAAGGAGGTTTCTCTGTGGTTTCCTCGTGTCCTGTGACTGTCAGAGTGTGAAGCTTCTTAGCAAGTGGTACATTTCTGGTTGGATAATGAGTGTTTCCAGAGAAGGAAGAATGGGAGGTTCACCTTCCTCATTTTCTGTGACAATAGGACTTCACTGTAACAGGACCACATAGTATGGATATTGTCACCAACTTGTAACTTTAAGATGTTTATTAATATATAATCACTAATTTTGCTGAACTACACTTTTTTAATGGCTTATATTCTTTATAGGCACAGTAACAGGACTCTACAGTGTGAAAAGCCTAATAATCTGTGTATTAACATATATGTTGTGTTGGGAGGGTATTTTTCTGCGATGTTTTTAAATTAAGCTGGCTCTGAGGGATATGGTATGTGCAATAGTCCCAAAAAGATACTCAATAAATATCCTTACAGAGCCTCCGAATTACAATGGTTTGTGCCTTAATATTGTACCATTAAAAGTATTTTTCATTCTGGCACCATTTGGGGAGGAAAAAACCCACCAGACAGAAGCAAAGTAAAATATTCAGGTTTTGAATGTGAAAAAATCTTTAATTGTAATGTTGGGGTTGACACAGAACAAGACATTTGACCCAAAAAATAATGCATTTAACTTCCCAACTCTTCATAATGTGTCAAACTTTTAACAGAAGCATTTAACCTAAATGTACTTGTGCGGAAATGCTGAAATAGGCACAGTGAAACACACACAGGATGGTAAATTTGGAGGGATAACATGGAATTTTCCACAGTTCATTATTGGAAATTTTTCTGAGAATATTTGCATTGGGGACATAGTAGAGGTACATTTCACAGATTGGATAGAAATTGTGATGGATAAGGAGTATTCATTTACCATTTTGTGTCTCAGCCTTTCTTACTGAGCTGATTTACCTGAATGTTTTCTTTAACTAAAGAAAATAAAGTTGCTCTTACAGAATCATAGAGTGGCCTGGGTTGGAAGGGACCTTAAAGTTATCATCTCATTCCAACCCCCTACCATGGGCTGGGACACCTTCCACTAGCCCAAGTTGCTCCAAGCCCCATCCAACCTGGCCTTGGACACTTCTAGGGATGGGGCAGCCACAGCTTCTCTGGGCAACCTGTGCCAGGGCCTCCCCACCCTCACAGGGAAGAATTTCTTCCCTATATCTAACATGAATTTCCCCTCTTTCAGTCTGAAACCAAATAGGTTTTTTTATAATTACATTTACATTTATTATTCTTTACATTTACTTTTTTCTTTTTAAACAGGTTGGTTTGTTTTCCCATCAGTGTCATCTATGGAGAGAGTCCAAAAACAGGAAATTTTGGTTCTGAAAGGGAGTTTGGAGAAACTGTGAGCACAGTAGGTTATAATGAAAGCTCTTCTGTAATCTGACTCTTAAGAGGTGCAGTTACCATTCTCTTCTGTGATGTTAAGAAACAAAGGGTCAAGCTATAAACTCACTTTACTCATAGTAGGGTCTGATGAAGTACTTCAATAGCCATTTTTTTTCTTTTTAAATCAGTGACTGCTTAAAAAGTAGGTAAGAGGTTCAGTGAGGCAAAAACGTGTGTAATTACATGAGCAATAGCAAGAATGCTTAAATAGTAGATGTTTCATTGTCATGGTTTGAGATGGCCCCAAAATCCAATTCCCTAGCTCCATACCCCTCCCACATCTCAACCTAATGTGAGATGGGTTTTTCCAGACAAAACACACCAGACTCAAGTGGGGGAAAGGGAAATATATTACAATGACTGTACAAATAAATACCATATCACATTATACACATGATCACAAACTATCTCTACCATGACATATAGTATTTACAATGATCAGATCTCTTCTCCCCTCCAAATAAAAGTCCAGGAGGGAAAGAAGGACAGATCCCTTCCAGTCCTTAAGCAGCAGCATCTTCTGAGGCAGCAGTCTGTCTGTCTTCTCCACATGCAGCAGCTGTAGCTGGCTTTCTGCCAGCACTCACGAGGGAGGTATTCAAGCCTCTCTCGGCCCCATCGCCTCACAACCGAGGGGTCTTCCGTGGGCTTCGTAACCCCAGACAAGGTCGTATCACCACGTCATATCACGAAGACTCAGGGGGGTCTTCGTGACGGTCTGGTATCTCCAGGAGACTCAGCTCCTTGCAGGGCCTCTGTGCCCTGCCTTCAGGTTGCCACCGTGGCAGCAGTGCGAGGGGAGAGCCAAGGTCAACTCCCCCTGCATTCCATCTGGCCGTCCCGGTCCAGCTCCGGGATGTCTTTGAGCTTCTCAGCTCCTCTCTCTCTCCGGTGCTGCATGTCTAAAACTCTTCTCCTTAATAGGAGTCCATCTCCCTCTTTTCTCAGAGGGATCTCAAAGGAGTTTTGGGGGGCTGGTACAGTCTTACCCCCAGAACTCTGTCTCTCAGGCTGCTGGCTCTCTTTTTCCCGGCTCTCCTTCCAGGAGTCCTTTCTCTGGTGCTGCATGCTGCTTCTGCTGCTCCTTCAGTTCAGGTGTTATCTGCCTTGGCTCTCTGCCACCGTTTCTCTGGTCAGTGCCGGCTGCTGCTCTGTGCCCATGGAGAAAACATCTCCTGGCATAACTACAGGCACCTAGCCCAGCTTTATGCTGTTCCAGGTCCCCGCAGCCCCCAGCCAGGGGCTGGGAGGCCCCAGAGGGCCCAAGGGGCTCAGAGCCCCTTCCTCGTGGCTCTACAACATGGCCGCCTCTCCTACAACAACCAACCTACAACTCATCTTTTCCGGTGAGCTTGTGGGATGTTGACATTTTTGCAGGAGCGCCCATTGGACAGAACTCCAAAACTTCCAGGGGTTTCCACCCCTTGGGGTCTACCACTTTTCTTAGCCTCTGGGGGAAAACAAGATCCAAACCACTACATTCATGAATGTTTTTTAAACCTAAACACCACTACTAATCTAAGAGGTGTGATAAACTGAGAAAATGATTTGAGCTAATTAAGAGAAAACAGTGTAAGGTCAATATGATCTGGAGAGAAAAGAAAAACAAGTCGTAAAACTTAATTGGGCTCCTATAAAGAGATAAAACAAGTTACCTCCCTTTTACCTTGTGTAGGATTTATAGTGAGAGAATTTTGTTTAGTTAGCTAGATAATAGCACCTTTCTTAAAATTTATAACTTTGTATAGATAACAAGCGAACATCTGCTGAAAGTCTGATTTAACAATGTGTAATGTTTATACTCATGTACCTAACAATGTGTAATGTTTATGCTTATGTATAATGAATATGCATGAAGTAGCTGGAAATAAATGTAGAACAACTGTATTCTTTGGGTGTGACAGGCGTTGGGAGTTGTTGGACCCCTTCCCTGATCACCCAGCGCTGAAGTTGCTTTTATCATATAATAAATTCTGATTGGAAATTGCCCGACTGGGTCTCTGTTTCTCACAGAGGGAACAATCCAATCCTCTTCCCCACATGTGTGCTGCACTGAGTTTGGGGGATTTTTGTTGTTCTTGTTTCCTTTTACATAACAGCAGTTTTTCAAATGAGCTGCTGATGCTGCATTTTGGAGGGTAAATCTGTGTCAGGGTTTTTTTTGTTTGAAGGGAAGTCACTGAAGGTACAGTTTGCTTTTTAACCTGTAGCCCCAGAGTCCTCTGTTCTTTCAAAAGGATTTGTTTCTCTCATTGCTTATAAGGACTTTAATTACAGTCTGTGTGATTTTTGTTAAAGTAACATGTTCAATTCATTAAATTTGTTCTTTTTTTCAAATATATGGATGTAATAAAGGCACTAAGTCAGACTGCTCATAGCGTTTTTGTATTGTAGACCTAGAAATAGTGTTTATCCATTCAATACCTAAGTAAAGTATTTACTGAGTGCATTCACAGGCATTAATTTCACCACCTCATCGTACCTTCTGTGGAACTGTGGTTCCACATTAAAGAATTTGCAATGTAAAGGGACAAAATATAGGTGGAGAGGCAGGTTATCCTCTTTATTTCTTTGCTTTACAAAGTAGTCTTAAAATGTAAGCCCCTTCCCTAGGTAAGAGTTTGCTTTCAGGTTCCAAGGTTCAACATCAGAAGATGGGAGCAATCAGCTTATTAACCACAAGTTTTACAAGTCACTTCATGTTTGGTCTGGTATCTACACACAGAAGCTGGGTAGCAGCTCTTAATAAGATACTGTCCAATAAATGTATTTTTTCCAGCCCTTGATTGGCTTCTGTGAGTCACAATTAGGCTCTAAGGAAAAAAAGCCACCCAAACTTCAGAGAACACTAAAATGCTGAAACCCAAATAACAAGTCCTGAGCTCAGCAGCTGCCTGAGGGACCCGTATGACAGCAGTGGGCTCCAGCACACTCTTCAGCCCCTGCAGATGCCACTTTTCCTGCACATCACACAGCTCACCTGCACAGTGCTCATCCTCATCCTTCCTCTCTGCCCTTTCCTAGAGGCAGCTGCTTCCAAAGTCTGTCCATATGAAGGCTCAGCACCCCCAAATCTAGAGGTGCCAACTTGCAGTCCTGTGACCTGTCACCGCTGACACCTGGCAACTTCTGACTTCTTAGGGAGCACAAAACAGCAATATTCCACACAAGTTTCATTAAAATTATTTACACTGCAAGTTGGTTTGTCAGTAAATGGGTCTTCTGACAGAAAACTGCCTGTTGTCTGGAAATTTGGCTCAGAGCTCCAGCAAAGTTGCGTTCTTCTTACAGATCCACTTTTTCAATGTCTGACAGTTGTCTGCTTGGATCACATTTTTCCTTCTGTAAACAGCACAGTTCTTGTCGGTCTCAATTCTCTTTAGAGCTCTCCTGCTGAGGGAGCAAAAGGAATGCAATGAGTTGTCAGCTTTAGATTCAGTACTAAATAAAAAATTCTGGTTAAAAATACTGGTGGAGTCCTGAGTGAGGGAGTCAGGTGATGCCCTTCTGGTAACCAGCTTGAAGCACAGCAGCCAGGAACAGGTGGGATAGGCAGCCACAGCAGGGTCTGCTGGCTGCTGAGGGATGGATACTTGGGAGCATGAGGGTAATAAGGAGGAAAGCTCTACATGCAGCCACAATGCTGAAGGACCCTTCGGCTGGACAGATCCCAGCACCCATGCTATGGGACAGGCATCGCGTTCAGGAGGCAGGCAGCACGTGGTCTGTAAAGTGAGACAGTTTGTTGACAGTGATTTCAGTAGAAGTGTGTAATAATGTCTTTCAACATTAATATATACATGAACTGTGGCTGGGGTCGGTCTTGGAAGCAGAAAACATATGTTTCCAAAAGTGCCAGGCAGGAACCGGCTAACCTGGGGCTGGCTGTGGAATAGACTTCTGAATACGTGCCTGAGGCTGCAGGATTAGATCTGTGCTTTGGGAAATTAGCTCAGATCCAGAGTTGTATTTCCAAGCAGAGATACCATACCTTTGCTATTGCCAAAGACACCCCCCCACACACAAATCATCACCTGTTTACTTTTACTCCATGATCTCCAACTGAACTCCATTGTTTCTTCTTGTCTTGAGTCTTCAACACAATCCAGATATATTTGGGATCTTTCTCTTTATTGTCTATAAATTCCTGTGGAAAGAGTAGAAGCATGTTAACTCACAGAAGAGCTTTCCTGCTGTGTCCAGGTCACTGTCCTGTCTCAGGCACAGCTTTTAGTCCCTCACATGGAGAGCAAGAGCAGGCATCCAGCCATTGGAAAGCAACCCATTACAACAGCCCATACACTAGGGATCAGCCACAGTTTTAATTCAGGCTGATGAGCTTCCTGACAGCTGCCAAACAGCAGACAAAAATGTAGTGATGCCCTTCACCCTAATGAGACCAGATTGCAAATCTTGGTCTTTAAGGTAAAAGACCTGTTCCTCGGGGAATTATGAGTTTCTCAGAACCATTTGGTAGTACCTTGCTATTCTTTTCCTAAAGGAAAAGGAGAAGGAGGTTTGGCTGTTGAATTTCTATTTAGTGGCTGAATCAGACCTCTCGTCCCAGAGCCAAGCAATAGAAATGTGTGAAAAGTCCTCAGCATTTCCTTCTCCCAGTCAAAACTACTCTGGCTTCCATGCTTGGCATCTCTTGTGCTTCTTCTCTTCAACTCTACTCTGTTGACAATCCCAAAACAGGTTCCTGTTGATGGGGAGACAGATGCTTTGCCCTTGATGGGATTCTTGCATGTGTACCTGACATCTGATACCTTTTCCCTTGGAGAAATGTTTGGCTAAGGCAGATGCCTGTTGTGTTTTCAGGGCTGTTGCAAGACTCACCATCTCAATTTCATCTTCAATGACAAGAAGCTGGGATTTCCTGGCCAGACACTTTTTCTGGCTGTCATCCCAACTTCTAGCCTCCTCAGAGAAGTAGTAACATCTGCCCCTGTGCAGCTGCCACCCGGGAGGACAGAGCTCACATGTAGTTCCTGTGGGTGGAGAGAGGGGACCATTAGCTCCCACTGTGACTCATTCCAGTTGCCTTGTGGCATTTTATGCTCATATGCCAAAAAAGTGGCCAGTCCACACTCCCAAATGTGTATTTTCTGTGTGTGGAGAGAGGTTTGAAGGCTACAGTGACCACTTGTCCCCTCAGCTTCCCACTCCCTTGCTGTGGCACCGTGCACATCTGCACTTCCACTGGCACATACCTGGACTCTCTCCACCTCCCAGTGAACCTGCCCAGCAGAGAGCACTGGGAGGACCTGGAAGGCTGCAAAGACACTTTTTGTCCTCCCACATTCAGCCCTTGTGAGGAGACCCTGTGGGATGTGACAGGATTTGGGGCGTGTGAATTTGACACATGATGTGACCAGGCACATAAGATGACGTCCAAACTTCTGTCCATGAGGCTGGAGAAGGAACTGTGTTAAGTGGAATGTTGCTGTTCCCAGGTCAACTTCCCATTTCATGCAGAACATCTAGAAGGAACATTCCCCATGTCTTCTGTCTTTGCTTCCTCTAATGTTTCAAAAGAAGAGCAAAGGATCAGCCCTCAGAAAAAAACATTGGTATTTGCCAAGAAAAAAAAGGTCAGGAAGGTCTTCCCCTGCCTGATCCTTGCAAATGGATCGAAAAGCTGAATTCCTCCCTCTGTTTGTGAACAATTGGTGTCTGGAAAGTGTTCTCCAGGCCAAGGGGAGGATCTACAATATATGGTATTTCTGACAGCAGCTCTTGGCAGAAAGACTTGTAAAGAAAGTACCAGAAACTTTATACCAAAAGAGGAGCAAAACTATTGTCATTAAAATGTTAGTTTAGATTCTGTCTCTGCAGGAACATGAATCTCCCTGGGTAGTACCAATGAGTTCCCATAAACTGTAGCATATCAGAGAAATGGGAACAGAGACAACAGAAATGTGCACACAGCATGTCCTGTAGGCTCACCCTGTCCATCTTCACACAGTTCCTCCATGAGCCATTTCAGGAGCACTGCAGGGAAGGTCTTCTCTGAAGAAATGTGATTGCCGCTGCTATTCAGACTATACTGGGACAAACCTTCTGATTTTCCTGCTCTGCCCTTCAAAACTTGAAGAGAGAGAGAGAGATTATGGTTAACAACCAGGATAAGAAAATGTGGTCTATGTATCCAGTGCTGTACTGAGTGTGAGGATGTGTTTGTGTATGTACATTGGTTTGTACAGACAGTCAGTTGTGAGTAGACTCAGTGAGAAAAAGATGTTCACGTGATGGCCTGGGTTGGATGAGACCTGAAAGATCATCCAGTTCCAAACCCCTGCCATGGGTAGGGACACCTTCCGCTAGCCCAGGTTGCTCCAAGCCCCATCCAACCTGGCCTTGGACACTTCCAGGGATGGGGCAGCCACAGCTTCTCTGGGCAATCTGTGCCAGGGCCTCCCCACCCTCCCAGGGAAGAATTTCTCCCTAATATCCAATTTCAAGCTACTCTCTGTCAGTTTGAAGCCATTTTGCATGTCCTGTCAGTGCAGGCCCTTGTAAACAGACTCTCATTTCCCATATTTGAGTACAACTGAACACCCTTAATGCAATACTGAGGGAATTTTTCTTCCAGCTTGTGAGGTTTAACCATGCCTGCGAGGAAGAGATGAAGCAGCTGGCAGGATCTACTCACATTGCTTGGCTTGTATGGCTATGACTCCGAGCAGAATGAGCACAAGGACTCCCAGGACCAGCACCACATAGAACCAGGCTGAGCACCTGTGTCGACAGCCTCAAGAGAGGCAGGAGGAAGGGCAGATTAAGGTCTTGGCGTTATTAAAATGAACACTTGCGTAGGCAAGTTTCTTCTGTGGAAACAGCAGAGAAATCATCTGCCTAAAATCAGCCTGGTGTTTGAGGGATACAGGAATATTTTACTTTTTAAAAATTTGTGTTCATTTTGCATACATGAAAGTGAAATCTAAATATTTTGTCAGACCGAGCAAGTGGTTTTCAATCATTCCTTTAAGAATTTTCTCTTTCTCCTTTGAGTTACTTTTCTCAAGCATTGTCTCCTCCCACCTACACACCCACACCCTGCAAGACCCTGCAGAGCAGTTAAGGGAAAGTGTCAGGGGTGGTCTGTGGCATCAAGGATGGTCTGTGGTGTCAGGGATGGTCTGTGGTGCCAGGGATGGTCTGTTGTGCCGGGGTGGTCTGTGGTGTCAGGGGTGGTCTGAGGTATCAGGGATGGTCTGTGGTGTAAGGGATGGTCTGTGGTATGTTCCTCCTCTTTGATCTCAAGTGTTAATGTGCCTGTCCTGTGGCTCAAAGCCAACTTCCCTGAGTGCACAGAAAAGGCAAAAACCCCATTCTGACACCATGGCACGGGAAGTACCTCTAAGCATCTCTCCAGCTGTTTGGCATTCATCATCTCGTGAGAGTGAAATCCTCAGGAAGAGGCAGAATGGGAGGAAATTTGGGGTCGAGGTGTCAGTTCCACCAGACACAGAGTTGCATTGTCATAACCTCTGTTTTCCTGACCTTGCCTGTGTGAGATGAGCAACTGCCCATTTTCTGGCTGCCTCGGATATAAGTTGTAATGTTCCTCTTTCCAAGGGCCTGACCTTGCCTGGCAGGCAAATCCTTCAGTACAGGAAGGGTGGTAATCATCAGTGCACTACCAGCACACAGAGAGCTGGGAATTAACCTGCTTCCAAAGCCAAGTGTGTCCCTGTGACTCTTCCTGCAGAGACATTTACAAGAGGATTCCTAAAAAAAACATGGAATTTTACTTTCCTTTGCTAAATTTTCAATGTAGGGCACAAAGGCATTTTTAAGAATTAGTTTTGAAATGCCTTTCAACGTTATTTTTACAAGGAAAGTGTGTTGCCTGAGAACCCAGCAGAAAATACCCACTGGATGAAATGATAATTCAGTTTTTTAAGGAGAGTGAACATGAAGACTCTTGATACCAGGTTTTACCGTTGGGCAATAGGAAAGACTAAATCTATAATAGGAAAGACTAAACCTATAATTAGTAACCAAACAAAATAGCTAAAATACACTACCAGAAGAGGAAGTCTCTGGTCTGCTGTTGCCTTTGGGTTTTGGCTTCACGCGCAGCTCAGCGTACATGATCATGTTTCCTGTGAGGAGCAGAGAAATGCTGACATTTGTGGTTGTGCAGATCATTAAGTGGAGGAACAACAAAGAATTATGTAGAAGACTGAGTCTATATGAAAAGGGGAGTGTGTTTCCACAGCTGCTTGTTCAGCTTTTTCTTTTTTCTAGGAAACAACAGGCAAGGTGATGATTTATCGTTTCTTGTTGCTGTCAGGAAGTAAAATCCTCCTCCATAATCTTTGAACTACTCAGGTCCTGCATGGCTGGATCAGGAGGCAGACTAACAGACTGGATGGATAAAATCTGGATCCTATCCATAGCGAACGTCCCATCTGTTGCTAAGCCATCTCAGAAGGTGACATAGGGGCTTGAGGGGCATCAGAGCCATGACTGCTTTGTGGAACAAAGAGGTGCCAAAGGGAAAACTGCCACTCAGAGAAATGCTCCTGCAGCAAGGTAATTCTTGGGGCATTCCTCACTTGTGAATGTTTATGCCAGGATATTACATGGTGCATGGAAAAGGAGAGGAACGGACCTGATGGTTGGAGACGTGCTTTTCCAGATGCACATTGACAAAACAAAACCAAAGAAGGCATAAATGTAGCATGGTGTGGGTTAGATTCACATGGATTCTTTCTGAGTGTATATTCAATTTTGTTTAGCTGGGTATTTTGCAGTTAGTTTTCTTCTTTCCATAAATGGAGAGATTTTATCAATCTGAATCAATAATAAGCTTCTGTGCTACTGCCCTTGTTTGTGATCACTGAGGCTTTTAAAAAGTGCCTCATGTTGTAAAATCTCACAAATAAGGGAAAAACTTAGCAGAGGAAGAAAGTCTCCTTAGGCTAAAATGAGGTATCATCTGATATGAGAATTGCTGAAGTGTAAAGAGGTTTTACAACAAGAAAACCACTGAGGACCTGATTGGCAAATAAGGTTTATTCATACAGGTGAGATATTCTATGCTTTAGGGAACCTGACCTAATACACTTGGCTGTTTCCTTTATTTAATTTTATTAGTTCAATGAACTAACAGAAAATTTGTAAACTATATTTACTGTTCTCAAAAACAAATGCTCATGAAAGTTTTTCTTCTTAGAATGTAAATAATTTTCAGAAAACAGTCAGGGCTTTTAAACTTTTAAATGCACTGTAAATGGAGACACTTCTAAACTAGTAGCTATCTGCTACTATTCTTAATATTTCATCTCTCAAATAAAGATCTATTCCTTTGAAGAATATCTCTAAGTCTGTAAAAGAAAAATTGTCCATGCAAGCTGAATATTTAAAAAAATTATTACTTCTATAACAGTGTGTTTTGGCACATTTGCATGTGATGTCCTTAGACATCAACAAGCAGATTTAAGATATCACATAACCTTAATTTTGCCAGATGCTTCCACACCCTTTACCTAATTCAGCAACAAGGAGCCCTGGTAGTGGGAGGAGATCTCTGTCACTTACTGAAACTGAAATTTCGCTTCATTTCTCTGTGCCAATTGTCAGGTGCAGAAAAACATCTCCATTTATTGGAAGTTTCTACTTAGTGGAAGTGCAGGAAGGGATTGCTCCTGGCAGGTTGTCCATTATGGAACATATGGGCCACCCCATTCAGGGGGAACTGGGAGAGAGAGAGTCCAGCAGAAGGTCAGCCTGGTCAAGAGGAGGTTAAGGAGGGGAACAAGAAGCTAAAGGGGACAGCTAATAGCAGGCTACAACTACTTCTAGACTAGTTTCATGACAGAGTCAAACTCTTTTTGGCTTGGCTTTCTGCCAAGGAAAGTTCCAGTCTATCAAGTTTATCCCAATAGTTTCCCATGAGTGAGCTTTCCTTATCATTAAACTGTAAACTTACACATTCTCTGCAACTGTGCCACCAGTGGTTTTTTATATCTTTTTGTTTGTCCTCAAAAAATACATTGAGTAGACTTTGAGATAAGAACAGAATTTGGGAGAACTCCAAGAAAGTGCATAATTTCACAAAATGAAATCCCTTTCTCATAGATCGGGAAAAGCTAAAGATCTGTAAAGGGACTTTCACTCTCAAATCCAGATTTTACATATTTAAAACACCTACTCAGCTGCTGGAGAACACTGGCAGAAGTTCAGCTTCCTGCACGTTTACCTTTCCTCTGCATCAGAGCTTGGCAGCAGCTCCACCTTAGCAGAACAAAGCTGTGCCCCCCATCTGTGTTTTTTAGTATCTACTCCAGTAAATTGACGGTAAAAGTTGCACAAAATGCAACCAGGAGGACGTGGGCATTTTCCACTTTCCTAGATATTTGAAGTCCTGCCTAAATTCTGGGAATCTGCCACTCAGAAGGTTCATCTGCCAAATTTTCTGTGGTGATTAAATTAAACCTTCTTCATGGTGAGAGTTTGAACCAGGAAGCGCTTTCCCTCAAGCTGCTTCTTTTTCTGCAAGGTAGTCAGTCTGCCCGAGAGAAAGACTGGGATAAAATCTGGGAAAGGGATGGATGTGACTATTAGCCATCCTCAGGGAACATTTCAACATGTCCCAGAGCTGGGATATTGCCACGGCAGAAACTGTGATATTTGCCACAAGGAGCCCCATCACCTTGGAGCCAATATCCTCACTTGGAGAACCAGCTTCAAATTCCTGCTCCAAACTATTTTAATAGCAACAAACCCCATGTTAGTACACATTAATCACAAGGACAGAGAAATAATTGTCATCAAGGAAGTATTTCTAGTGTGTTCTATATTGGTATGAGCTCCAATACTGCTTAATACGATTTGATGCTTTTTCTGTTTGTGTCAAAGTGAGCAGAAATATAATTGCTAATGAAATCTGTAAGTAACAAAAAAATTAACAAAGCAATAAATAAAGGCAGTCCTGTAAGTTCAAGCCTGGTCAGACAAAATGTATTTGAGTATAATCAGATGTAAGAGTGAGGGAAGGTGATACTGGCAGTTATAAACAGTGAAGAAAAGATTATTTCAGGGATTTTTGTCTCTATATAACTTTAAGACAGCATAACCAAGACTTGTAGTAGTACTGGGTGGATCTCTGGTGCCCATGTTTTTTGGAGATAGGTCTTGTAAAAATATATAAAAAAATAACATTTTCTGTCATTTAAGTGCGTGTTTTCAGAGCACCATCATCACCATTCATCTACATTGTAACTAGAACATCTTATAAAAATGCTTATTACACAATGTTGTTTCCTTAAGTGATTAAATACATTAAGTACTGAGCCTTGAAAGCATGAAAATATGCTCTTAGTCTGACACCACAAACATTTTCTATTTTCTCATAGTGAGAAGTTGTCATTCATATTTGCTGTGATCCAGAATTTTGTCCAAATGCTTTCATGAATGAATTTCATTTTTTTTCCAAGTAGTAGAAATGTTACTTCTTAAAAAAAAAAATAAAATGTTTAAATCATCTCCTTACCCTGAATATTGACTTAATGTGTTACAAATACATGAAGGGATCACAGATTGATAATTTAGTTCTGGAAGAATCACTACTGGAAAATCAAAGAGAAAGAGCAGGAAGGTTTTAGGATTTATTCAGTACTTCCTTCGGTGGCAGTGCCTGCACTTTCAACTGCTACTAGTTTTCTGATTTAATAATTAATTTAATACTCCTTTTCCACAAATACGCCTTAAAATACATTGATCTGATTTTTGGACTAGGTAGTAATTTGGTGGAGCATTGTCTTGACATTGTTCATTTAACAAGAAATATTATGCCCATTATTCAAAAATTAACACTTTTTCTTCCTCATTCTGCTTCTTAAAACAAGGGACCAAATCTGAGCCCTTGCTTCTTAGTGGTTCTGACTTAGTAGCTTTGCTGACTTATACCTCATGAGGATTTCTTCTACTATTTCCAACTTTTCCCACTTCCCATGCCTTGTGCATGCAGCATGTTATAACCTTCTTCTAGTTTTATCCAGTGACAGTATTAAATATGAAAGAGAGAGAGACAGAGAGAGAACATGAGAGCAAACAGTGTCCACCCAGGAGAGGATGAGGTGTTTTACCTGGAACTGGTGTCTGAGAAGGAATGTGTGGTTTTTCCCTAGGCAGCATTGCCACATCCGCATATGTGACATCCCCTGCCATTGATGAGCAAGTCCCCCTGAGCTATGGAAAGAGCAGGTTTAATACAGTGGGTTGCATCCTGTATCAGCTTTGCCTGCCTCCAGAAGTCACATACACCGTGCTATGGCTCTGAGAATGGCTGAGAAACATCAAAAAGGAAGGAAGTTACTCCTTTCAATACAGCTTCAAAGCCTATTTGCAGACATTCTGTCTCTTCTTGTGTGATCTCTGGCCCTTCAGAATACAGGAGAAAATGAAGACTAAAAAACATTCTTTCTAATAATATATATTAAAAAAAAAAAAATCTTGTTGGTCAAAGCAGTGTGAAGTTTCTAAGGAATAATCAAAAATGGGCTTTCACAAGTGCTGGTTCTCATGAGAAGCGCTAACGCAATACAATCAATGTTGTGCTGTATTATCCTCATGTCCATGATCTTATACAGCCTATTCACCTAAAAGAAAGATAAATAAGATATATATCAGTATAAGATGTTTTTGGGTTGATGTAACTGCAACCACATAGCTATAAAAATGTAACTCAAATTCTAACCTGCTCCACGCACAGAGCACTTTAATGGTTTAACGACTGGATTTAGATGGTATTGATGAGGTGTTAAAATTAACTCAAAATAAAATAACTGGTTACAGTGTTAAGTGCAGTAACAAAGAGGAAAAAAAAAGAACCTTTGATAGTCATGGAACAGATTACTCAGAAGTGCTGCTCAAGTACAGTTTATATGCAAGGTATCTAAATCATTATTTATCACCACTGATAAACCGATACTGTGAACTGGATACCGACAAGGTTTGATTCATGGACACCTACCTAGCAGGCATATCACTAATCCTAATGTGAAACAAAACGTGTCCTCTGATTCAAACAGTTTCCGTTGCTTTCCCTGAACTTCTCATCATCCTTTACAACAGGATATTTAGGCCTGAAATGGAAAAAAAAATCAAAAAAAACCCCCCAAAAAAAACCAAAGCAAAAAATAACCCCGAACCAAAACCCACTTTCCTTATTTGGACTTTTTTAAACTTGGGTCCACAAAGGAGAGCTAGAAGGCTTGCTTGAACACTTGGGCTCTCTTTCCATCACTTCACATACACTTAAGCAGTCTTTTCTCACATAAGCCCCTCCTAAATTAGTCAAAACCATTAAGATGTAACAATGTATAGTCAGGATACACACAGGTCTTCATGAATGAGTGGAAAAAAACAGCATTTCTATTTTAAGGGAACATGTCTTCCCGTCTCCTCTGAAAAACACATTTTCAGACAGAAGAGCAAACTCATGAAGCGTGCAATGCAGACCAGGCAGCTGCATCCTCTCTGACTTAGCAGATTCTCACTTGCCTGAAGAAAATTAGGAATGCACAGAGTTAGTTTCCAGAGCAAACTTCCAAATAACCATAAGCAGTTCTCATTTGGGATTTGAAGTCTACATGCTGTGCTTACTGCTAGGGCAGATAATGAAAAGGAGGGTGAATTTTAATTTTTAGAAGGAATAGATGAGCCTTTGCAAGACATTTTTCTTAAATTTTCTCTTTCCTATTGGAAAGCTATCTTTTTTTTTTTCTCTCACTGCCACAGTATTTTCATTTGCTAACTATCTTCTTTAGTGTTAATAGTTTTAGCTCTGTTAGTACTTTAATTCTTTTCTATTGTTTTAATTTTGAATTTTAGCTTTATTTATGAATACTCAGATGTGAGTCACCAAGCCAGTAGCACTTCCAGAAGAAAAAAACCCAGGCTGTTGTAGGAAAAGGCCATTTAGATCCAAGAGGTCTTTGTTAGCAAAATGGCCCAGTGCTCATAAAGGTGATGGAAATGTCTAGTCCAACCCCTGCTCAAAGCAGGATTATTCAACAGTTAAATCCAGTCACTCAGGGCTTTATCCAGGCAGGTTTTAGAAATCTCCATGGGTAGAGATCCCATGGGCACCTGTTGCACCATTGTCATGAAGGAAGAATTCTTCTGCTTTGTTCAGACAGTGTCACAGATGCACTTGTATCATATATCCAGAACCTGAGCAGACCTTTCCCCTGTGACCATGCACTGCTGTCTGCTGGTAGATTTTGCAGAATAGATGCTTCAGAAGCAGGGATTGGCTCAGCCCAGTCATACCCCCATTGGGATCTTTTCACACTCAGGTATCATAGTCATTTTGGTTTGTTACTCCTGGGGGAAAAAAGTGGCCCAGATATAAAAATCATGGAGTCATTTAGGTTGGAAAAGAACTCCAAGATCATAAAGTCCAGCTTTTACTCATCACCACCTTGTCACCCAGAGGACTGAGTGCCACATCCAGTCATTCCTTGAACACCTCCAGGGATGGTGCCTCCACTATCTTTCTGGGAAGCCTGTTCCAACCTCCCATGAAGCACCTTGAGGTCATTTCCTCTTGTCCTGTCACTTGTTCCCTGGGGAGTTGGAGACAGGGAGGTGGTCTCTGCTGAGCCTCCTTTTCTTCCAGGGTAAACACCCCCGGCTCCCTCAGCCACTTATTCACAAACTGTAATCTGGGTTGAGCTTAATTTATTGCATGATCCACCCTTGTGTCTTTTAGGTTCTCCAGGTAGAGTCTCGCTTCACTCTGTTCTCTCCTCCCAACCACCTGATGAATATGCAGAGCTTATAGCACACTAATGTTGGTGAGGCCTCTAAAACATCAGGGCTTGCTGTGTATCAGCCAGCCACATGTCTGGGAAGCAGGGAATGATTTTTTAGCCTTGAGTTTTCAGACCGGAGATATCTGCAAGGAACAATAGTGGGATCATTGTGTAGGATTCCTCTGCCACTGGTCACTGAGAGCTCATCAGCCTGGAGCTTCAGGGGCTCTGTTGAGGCAAAAGAGGTACCAGCTCATGTCATTCTCCACCTTGACACATGCTCCTGCGTGAACACTGACTCTCCACTTGTAACCGTCATGCCTGAGTAACGTCACTTGGTGGTGTTCTGGTGCCAGTTCCAGTTTATGCACAGGGTAACTGTGATAACAGCTGCAGATGACACCTCTTCTGTGGGTGTGATAGCATGTCCTTCACTGCGTGCAAAGGCACAAGCAGACAGAGAACAACAACGTGGGCTGCAGAGCAGAATTCAGCAGAGCAGAATTCAGCACCTGCTGCCACAGAACAGGCAGCTCAGCCCAGGACTCCAGCTGCCTTGTGGTGCACATTCTGAAGAACCTGAACTGCTGGTCTGACAACAAAATGGACCTTTGTACTTCCCAAAAGCTGAGCTGCAACACAGAGACTTCCAGGCTAAACTGAGTGAGTCCCATGAGTAAATCTACAGTTTGGGTTTCAATTCTAACCCTCTACTGTGTCACAGCAGAGCCTGTACATACAGTGAGATGCAAGAGCAGCACCCAGAAGGCATTGTCAGAGTTAGGGCTGAAACCATAGACACTATTGCCATAAATGAAAGTCTGTGCATTGTTATCCCACACCGCAGAAAAATAAAAAAGGCATTTAAATAGAGAAAATCCACGAATTCACCACGATACAGGAAAAAAGAGAGAGTTTAGTGAAGCAGCAGTGCCTGCAGAGTGCAAACTGAACAGCAGCAGCTATTCAGTTGCAGCTTCACGTTCATTAGGTGGGACATGGATTAGGTGGGAAGCAGACAGGGTTGGAAGCCTGTGAAGATGGGTTTCTTCCCAGTGCAGGGTTTGGGATTTTTTTTGAGCATGTCAACTCTTTTTGGAACTTCAGAGTGATTCTCAAAGATGCTGCTGTGCAAATTATTCACTCTGAGTGCCATGTGTTCCCCTAGATGCATTTTTCACTGCTAACCAGTGGTGGAGTGAATATGTGGACAGGATGATGTGTGCAGTCTCCTCAGCAGTTTGGTGATGCTGTGTCAGGAAAGAGCTGGTGAACACCCCTTCCAGTGCCACACTGCCGCATTGCCTTCTCTCCTCTCCTGCACTCTCACATGCTGAGTTAATTTTCCTTCAAAGGATTGAAGTAGTGCTGGGACCAACTCCATAGGTAGCACGTTCTTGGCAATATTATAAGTTATATTTTGGTCTTCTACAAGCCTGTGTCTGTGACTTGGAGAATGGCGGGGGAAAAATGGTGTATCCTTCTGCAGACAATAGAATGGTCTGGGTTGGAAGGGACCTTAAAGGTCACCTAGTTCCAAACCCCTGCCATGGGCAGGGACACCTTCCACTAGCCCAGGTTGCTCAGAGCCCCATCCAGCCTGGCCTTGAACACTTCCAGGGAGTTCACAACTTCTCTAGGCAAACTGTGCCAGGGCCTCACCACCCTCACAGGGGAGAATTTCTTCCAAATATCCAGTCTAAACCTGCTCTCTGTCAGTTTGAAGCCATTCCCCCTTGTCCTGTCACTACATAGTCTTGTTAATAGTCTTTCCTCATCTTCCTTGTAGCCCCTTTAGGTACTGGAGGGCTGCTATAAGGTCTCCCCAAAGGTTTCTCTTCTCCATACATCTACACAACAGCATCTATTGCTTTGGACAACAGAGGGTGTCTCTGCAAGCTGAAACACAGCAGAGGTGCTGTAGGTCACCTAGGTGTGATTTCTGCAAACAAACCAAAGCAAAACAAACCAACCTAATAAATACCAAAACCAAACAAAAAACCCACAGATACTCAATTTTCACACACACACACAAAACTAACAGAAAAAAACCCAAACCAAACACCAAACAAAAACCTCTGTGTAAATTAAGATGGCTAATGAGCTGAGACCACTGTCAAACTTGCTGTCAGCTACTGCCTCGCGTTTATATGCCTCTGTCTCCCAGTCTCCTTTTTATACTGGGACTCTCAGCACTAGTATTCCAAGCCTGGTGTTACTATTAGTAGTGCATTTTACCCAATTCCCATCTTATTTCTCACTGGCAACTTTAGTAGCACCAACAAAAATTTTGGCAGATTTGTGGTTTTCTATGATAATTCAAATATAAGATTTGTTATTACAGAACAAACCCTAAAGCAAACCATAAATGCTTAAGTGCTCACCTGCACTGGAGTTTCTCTTGCTTGC